TTGATGATGAGTATTTTAAAAATGCAAGTGAGGGAAAAGCCCTAGTTTTACCAAAAAATCCTAGTTTTAAAAATTGCTCCAAATTTTACTTTTTGTTCAATTAGGCCTTGAATTATGAAATTGAATTGAAGTTTAGTACAAATGTGTATAAGTGTTGATTATAAGTTGTTTTGGAAATTTTATATTATGAGGAAGGAAATTGGATGTTGTTGAGAATGTGGAAATTAGACATCCCTTGGTAAATGTTAAATCTTCATTGATGGCGTGAATGGACCATAGGTAACCTAAGATATTTATAAACTCACGCATCATATTGCATCTCATAATTTTGTTCTTTGATTGTTATAATCTCTTGGATGTTCGAAAAGATTGAAAGGAGATAAATAACGTATGAGTTCGGATAGTAGAGTCGGGTTTTGGAAAAGAGTTATATATTGTATTGGTACCCGCACGAGGAGTCTATGTGTCCAATTGCCCTGTCTTGAGTGTATCGCTGAACGAATGTGGGGAATTTTGTTGGGTGTCCACTAGTCCCGCCATATTATGAGCTGATAAATGTGGAAGGAAATTGTGTTTTAGGTGCCCATCGCCTTTCCATATTATGAGCCTACAAATATGGGAATATCTTCAATATATAAAAATCTATATATGTATGGTTTGACTCTTATTTGGGATTTCATTGCATATTTACCCCCCCCCCCCAACTGTAAATGTTGAGATTTTTGAATGACAACTGTACATTGAACATCATTTTTTGTAAGGAGAAAATAAAGATTTTATCATGGCATGTGCATAGCATGATCATATCCATTTCAAGCATTTATATACTTTGTTAAATGTATTCTTATTGGACAATTTGCTCATCCGTATGATAACAAATTTCAGGACTTGCTGATGTGCCTCCACCCAACTGGAGATTGGTGATCTTGATGGGGCACAAAAGCTCACTTTGAATATATATGATCACAGCCACCGAGCTTATGTGTTTGGGATAGAATTCCAATTATTTGTAATCAAGGCTCTCGCCTTGAAAGGTATAAGCCCCTTCGGGCAATTCGTTGTATTTCTTCTATTTCATGTAATGTCTTATGTATTGTTAAAGTAAAACATTACGATGTGAAACTCTAATATCAATTCAAAAAAAGGTTTCCAAAAATATATATGGTACATCAATTTGTGTTATTTTATTTTCTTAATACTCACCTCACGACAAGAAATTCGATATTAAATAAGAGATTGGTAATTATAATTTGGGTTAAATTATCGGGGCATTACACTAAGTCAACTCACTACATACACTTAACTCATCCTCCAACCAACTCATTCAGCATCACATCTCCATCCATTACCTTCACCACCACCAAATGCCACACCCTTCGCCACTACCAAACCACCCATCTCCGGCCACACTGATCACTACCACTCCATCTCCATTTGCCACCACCACCACCACCCTCTCAATACCCACGGACCACCAAACAACCAAACCACACTAATCACCCCATCACCAGCATCCCACTTCTACCACCAACAATTGTAGTTAGCCAAAAGTATTCACAAAATAAATTAACAAATCACTAATCGATTGACAAATTGATCAATTACGTATAAAGAACATTAACAACATATTTTGCACATTAAAAAATTACTTATTTTTCTCATCAATTAACCCCTTCAAAGAACAATTTCATGGGCACATGGCAGTGGCAGTGTTTGGTGGAGAGTGAGATCAGATTGGGGAAAGAGGCACGAGGTAGATACGTGTATGTGTGTGTGTACAAAAAACAGAGAAGAAATGGAGTAACGAATTTAATTGATAGAGAAACGGGTGGTCGAGAGAAAATGGAGAGGAGGAAAATAAGTAGTTGTGGTGCCGATTGTCATTGCCGGAACTGGTATATATATCACATAACACAATATATATCAATGCATTGAAGGATAAAATATCCATTCTGCCCTTCTTTATACATGCATTGAAGGTGAGTCTAGATCCTCTAGAGTTCCTTCTCCAGAGTAGTTGTGCAGTTTATTAAAACAATGTTGTTTTACTTAATGTTAAAAAATAAATAAACAATAATAATAATAATAATATAAAGATTTCTTTGAACAAACAAACAGATATCTCTTCCTCTCTCTCTCTCTTCACGGATATCTGTATCATCCTCCTTTATCCTCACCCTTTCGCTGGAGACTACACCCATCCCCAACCCTCTCTAACCGCCGGCCAACCATTCCTCCTCCTTTAATTTTTTGTCCTGGGATTGTGATGATATGCTTGGAATGTTTAAAATTTTGATTTAGGTATTTCATAAAGTTTGAGTTTTTTGAATCTTCAAATTCTCACTTGGTGTTTCAACCATTTCGGTCTGGTTTATTTTTTGTTGTTGAAAACACACAGAAAGCAAATTTGAGAGAAAGCAAATTGGAGATCAATGTTTCAAATGGATTGATCCAAACTAGATGTCATCACCGTGTATTTGGTGATTCAAGACTTGGTGTGTAATTAAGAGAAAGTTTGAGGTTGAAGATTTTTTAGAAGAGGAAGAAGGAGGGGTAGCGGATAGTGGAGGAAGAAAGAGAAGAAGAAACTGGAAATGGCTCCAACAGCGTACATGAATGAATCCGATGGCTGCCGACGGGAGGGTAAAGATGCAAGAACACTATCACTGGAGGAAGAGCAGAAGGGGAAGAGAAAAACAAAAAGAGAAGGAAGTTTTTTTTTTTTTTTTTTGGCTCTTTTTTGGCTCTTTTTTAATTTTTGGGTGTCGTTTTGATGCCCTATAAAATCAACACGACAGGAGATCAGGATGAGTTGTTTTTGACAGAAAATGTAACAGCCGTTTTCAATTGGACCCATTCGACACAAAGTTAAAAATTAGGACAAATTATGATAGTAGTTTTTATATTTTGATTTTTGTGTCATTTTAATCTTTATAATTTTAATTAGTTTGATTTTGATTATAAATTTATAATTTTGTTTCAATTTAATCTAATTATTTACAATACTTAGCATTTTTTTATTATAAAAAATATACATATAAGTAGCATGTGTCATATTTTATAGAATAACATAATAAATTTGCGGGCAAATTACATATACACCCCTCCAGGTTTGGTTAAATTACAGATACCCTCCTGAGGTTTCGGAAATTACATTCCGCCTCCTGAGGTTTGTATTTTCATAACAATTTACCCCCTGAGGTTTATATTTCATAACAAATTACCCCCTAATTTTTTATGCAAATATAGCATTCAGGGGGGAATTCGTAATTTCTCAAACCTCAGGAGGGTATCTGTAATTTTGTCAAACCTGGAGGGGTGTATATGTAATTTGCCCTAAATTTGCTATTCTCTGTGAGTTAATCTTAACAAATTTAGTGATTATTTTCAGTCGAAAATACTAATAATATTATTAATTAAATCAAATTAATACAAAATTTAAAATTAATAGTTAAAATTGTGTCAGCTGAAAGTATAGAGATTAAAATAACACAAGAAACAAAATGTAAAAATTACTAATAGACTTTACCTTAAAAATTAGGACAAATATGTTGCAATTGAAATGAGCGAAACTAAAATGAAACTCACAAAAAATTACAGGGACCACTGATAAAATTTGCTCCTGTTTTTTTTTATGTCCATCCTAAACGCAAAAGTGGACTTAAGATGATGGCTTATCACCTTTTACCTTCTTTTTTTTTTTTTTTTTTTTGCTTTTTGCTTTTTAAAAAAGTTGCTTATTTTGAGTGTTCCCAAGCATCCACTTAGGCCTCGTTTGGGAACTGGCTAATTTAATAACTTTTTTACTATTTAGTTAAAATATGAACTAAAAAAAACTAGTATGTTTGGGATGACTTTTTGACTTTTTATAAAAAGATGTGTAAAAAGTAGAGAGAAAAAAGAATTTTTGACTTTGTGGTATGGATTGTTGGTTTTTTAGCTAATTTAATAACTTTTTGACTTTTTGACTAAAAAAGCGAGTTCCCAAACGAGACCTAACTATTAAGTCATTTAGTCCATGGATTAAAGTCTCGAAATTTATTTTTAAAAATATTTTCATTATTGAAGGCTGCCCTTTTTTTTTTTTTTTTAAAAAAAAAGGACCTAATTGGATAGCCTAAATTCTCAACAAAAAAACACTACCTATTTGGATCCAGCAAAACCTTAAAACTTGACGCTAAACGAGCATGTTGATGTAATTGTTCCAAGCATCTTTTGCTAATTTAGTTTAGAGAATGTGAAAGCCCAAGAATAACCTAATAGGAAAGAAAATCGGATTAGAGGGTGTTGTTGGGCCTCCGTAAGTTCATTACGAAGCCGCATTGATAATTTGAATCGTTTAATATTAGGGCTTGTCGAGTACTTTCTCCTTGTACACAAGCACGTTGATCGGATATTGGTCTCTACTTGATCGGATCACATTTGTGTCAACGGTAAATATTATTTTTAAAATAAATTTTGACACAAATATTACCCGATCAAGTGTTTATCAATATTCAATCAATGTGATTTTTTACAAAGATAAAATACTTGACAAGTCTTAGATAGTGAACTTTCGAATTATCGATACAAGTTTCATGATGAGCCCATAGAGAACCAACAACACTCTCCAGTTAAAAAACCCCAAGTGGAGAAGAGCTTGCTCCAATAGGAAAGTAAAATAAAATAAAATGAGCTAAATTTCTTTCTTTTTGTTTGGTTGGGTAGGAAATGACAAAAAAATGAATGTGCATTTATTGAAAATTCTTTTCTTTTTCGTTTTCGTTTGATTACCCATAAAAAAAAATAAAAAACCCTAAAAAAAAAACAAACTGTTTCTCATACAAATTGAAAATTCAAACATAATATAAAGGCATACAGGAAAAAAGTTAGTTACAGTCACAGGCATACAAGTTCCATTTGTGATAAGGATAAATTACAAGATTATATTGCCCAATTATAAGTGCTTAGAACCCACAAACACCGCCCATATGCATATACAAAAACTTTTTTGAAGTCTAAAAAACCATATTCATGGGTGATTTACCTTGATAAATCAGTTGTAGAAATTTGTAATTTCATTATTACCTTGGTCCTGACAAAACCGATGGCAATAACACAGTCTGGGCAGCAACAACATCTTGTTCTTCTTCATCAATGGCTGCCGCAGCTGCAATTGTTCTAAGAATAGGTGGATTTGTGAAGTCGTAGTCTAAATTGTCTCCAATGTCTATCAAAGCACCCTCCAAGACCTGAACCACCACTGTCATGGAAGGCCTCTTCTCAAAATCATTCTGTAGGCACCATACAGCAACCTTCATCTTCTCCACAACTTCTGTTCCATGTAATTGCATATCCTCACTGTATTTATCCACAATGTCCAAAAGTTGTTCTTCTTCTGCTTTTCTCTTGAAAAGGCTTAACAAATGCATGTCTTCCTCAGGCTGGGACCGATCCAAGTTTCTTCGACCACATAATATTTCTAAAACAACAACACCAAAGCTGTAGACATCTACTTTCTCTGTGATGAATGAGCTCAACCATTCCGGAGCCATATAACCCGGTGTTCCTTTTATTGTTGTCACAACTTTGCTTTGGTCCTTGTCGATTAGTTTTGACAAACCAAAATCAGCGAGTTTTGCATTGAAATTCTCATCCAAAAGGATGTTTTGGGGTTTAATGTCCAAGTGAAATATTTTCTGCCTGCATCCTTCATGAAGATAGGCTAGTCCCTTGGCTATCTCTAAGATGATCTTCCTTCTAGACATCCATCTAAGAGAAACCACTTGATTTTTAGAAAAAATCCATTCATTCAAAGACCCATTACTCATGTACTCATAAACCAGAAGCCTATGTGATTTTTCAATGCAGAAACCAATTAGCTTTACCAGATTGACATGGTGAATGTTGCCTATTGTCTCGACTTCTGCTAAGAATGTCTTCTCCACTAGCTCTAACTTGTTGAGGTGCTTAACTGCAACTTTTGTGCCATTACGCAAAGTCCCTTTGAAGACTGTCCCGAACCCACCTTCCCCAAGTTTTTTGCTGAAATCTTGTGTCAAATCTCTCAATTGTTGGTAAGAAAATCTAGTGGGCGTCCCTGGTAGTTGTTCAAGATAGCCATCCGCAACTTCCTTGGATTCATTTTTTTCCCGGAGGAAAAACAAAATATTTGTAATTGTAAAATATGCCCCAAATAAAGCTCCGACACATGATTCCATTATGATTCTTGCCGTCTTTGATTTCTTTTTTGGAGGATTCTGCACTTTCACGTATGCTACCGTAAAGTTATCTTGTCCAACGTCTTTGAAGGAGAAAACTGTGGGCAACAAGTAGCAACTTCCCATAGAATTCCATTGGTATTGAAATACTGCTGCTTTGCACGAACATCTGTCCAAACACCTATTCTTGCAATTTACAGAATCGGTTTCTCCAATGGATATGGCTGCGCTAAGACTAGAATAAGAAATGTTATTGAGCTCAACAAAACTATGGAATTGAGAATAATTGCAAGAAATAGGTGTATTTGGGGAGCACCCAAGATTGGTTTGCCTTTCTGACTCCTGCTTGAAATAATTTATTTTGTCTTCTGCTAGTGCCAATGGACAAGAGCACTGCCCTTCACCAGAACAAATTCCATAATTTCCACACACCATAGGATACACACACTGACCAACAAATACACTAAGTAAATCACGGACCTCTTCCCAACCTAATTCGCTCCACTCATAAATTTTTACATGTCCATCAGTCTCCAACCTCATGAACTGAGCTGCGCGACCAATATTGTGTTCACCGAAGCTTCCATCTTCATATTGAATATAAGAACGCCCAGTTTTGTCGATTGGGACTTTAATCTCATTACCAGATTGATAATAGAGTTGTTGGCCAGGAGTATTGGAGTCCCCCGTGTACATGTAGTAGGCAACCAACTTCTGATTGGCGATAGACAACGAATACAGACCTTCACCCCAATTTGTTGATGATGCATTTGATATCAGCTTTTGCCCAGAAACCAACTTCTGCCCGGGAAGCAGAGAGTCAGTTGGGTGATCAAAAGACTGCCAGACGGTCGAATTGTTTCTGTCGAAAAGCACGAGGTTTCCCGTTTCTGTCAAGTTTAAGCTAGACACGGATTTTCCACTTGTATTTGTCGACCATACCAAAGAGCCATAGGCATCGTTCAAGACCAAATTTCCATCTCTAGCGAATTCCAGGGTTGCTTTAAATGAAACCGGATTGTTCCGATTGGCGGACCAGACTACTTTCGCGTCTCGTGTCAGGGTGCTGTTTGGGAAAAGGAGAAGAGCAAAAAGGCATGTATCGGAAGTGTTGCAATAGAAACCACAAGAAAACCATGGACCAGTGCTTCCAGTTCCTCTGCTAAGGATGGGTTGCAACCTCTTGGAGTCATTGTCTCTCACGAGAGTTGAGAAGTTGTTGACCCATGTACTATTTAGGTTGGCAGTTGGAGGTTCCATAAAAGTTTGGGCATTGATACAATTTGACAAGGTGGTGATAGAAAGAGCAAGGATCAGAAAAATGGAACAAAGTGGATTCTGACACTGACGATTCATAGCCTCTTATTAGAGGTATGTTAAGAAGATCAAAACTTCAAACAATATAATATGATTGTCAAAATGATCATCAAAGCTGGAACTTCTACTAGTAAAACTTTGTACCAAAAGGAGATTCATTGCATTACTCCACAATCTGTCCGTTGACTCGGTCACTTCCACAGAAACCTTCACGTGCTTTCGTTGGAGCTGCCGAGTTTGACCCGGTACCCTTCCACCATCACTATCTGTATGGGGTGGAAATTTATATCAATGATTAATGCTTGGGCCTTGACAAGTCGAGCTCGAATGCCTAGAAATTTTTTATTATTATTATTTTTTTATTTTTCTATTTTTCTATTTGTTGTGGTGTGATGGTTTGGTTGTTATTTTTTTTATTATTATTTTTTTGTTGGGTTGTGTAGGTTTTTTTTTTTTTTTTTTTTTTTT